GAAATATTTCGTAAAAATTCATGATACATCAGAAGACGTATACAGAAAGAACAGAGGATTTCTTAATTTTTTAAACACTATCTATGCCCCGCTATAAATATCTACGAAAAACTAAGAATTTCCAAGATCTCGTATTATATGTAGTTTTTCTGTACTTTTTCATAAAAATTTTCCTACCAAGTTAAGAAATCGATTGCCAAAAATTTCAAATAATGAAAATGTCATTAAATGGAATGGACAAAATTAAGTATAAAAAGATACACACTGATTGACAAAGTAAACTTTCGTTTACACTTGTATTGTTTCTAAATTACAATAGATTAATATATTATTTTTGATATTCTCTTGCTTTCTGCTTAGCGTATGCAATATCCTCTTCACTCACTGACGGTTGTAATCCACATGCTATTTCTTCCTCCCTGATAAACGCAAGCTTCTCTGCCTTTTCCATATAAAAATCCTTTTGTAACTTTTTCAATTCTTTTTTGTAAATATCCAATTTTTCTTGCACAAGTTCGTTACAATGCTTTTCTGTTAAACGTCTTAATGAATCCTTCCTGGTAATCTGGTGTGGTAGCCTATTAAATGTTTTGTAGAAAATAATCAGATTTATAAAATTTCAGCAAAATAAAGGATAAATGTATATTGATATTTGATAAAGCTCTCACTCAGGTACTGGTTTGTAAACAAGATTAAGTTTCTCCAAGATCCATTCAAAACGTCTATAATCACATTGCCGCAAAAACTTGAGCATTTTTTTTCGCTTTGCAATTGTTTCTAGCAATTGAACTTTCATTTTCATATTCTTAGGATATTCTGTTAAATATTCTTGCAACTGATATATATCATTAGTCATAATGGCAACTGAAAAGTGAAAGTATAATAACTTTAGCCTATTATTCTATTGTATAATCTATCCTATTTATAGTAGAGCTATACTTGCTTGTAGCTTCTGGCGAATTTCGGTCTAATTTGTGTCTTTGAACCAATTCTAAGATTTTGTCTCTTCTGACATTAATTGTTTCTTTGCGAGGTAGAAATTGTAATGTAAACATCTTTTTAACAATATCACTGGCACTGACAAAAAATATTATATATAAATAGCATATTTCAAATTTTAATTAAAATAAAATATTTATTTATAGGGTAATTATTCAGAATATCCCTCCCCACCTAAAATTTTAACAAAAATATACTTATTCGACGCATTTTTATTCAAAACGAAAAAATCTGACAGAAAAAACGCAGCAGTCAGCATCTGTGTGTGAATCAAGTTATTAAGCGCGTTATAAAGTTTGAGACTTTAAAGATTAAGATATATCTGTCATCCCGACTCGATACAGCATTATATGTAATGTATACACGTTCTGCTTTAATTACACAAATTCTTTGCTTTAAAAACAAAAATTCACTGTTTTAAGCATACAATTCTTTGCATTAGTAGTGAATTTGTGTTTTTAAAGCAGTGAATTTTTGTTTTCGAAGCAGTGAATTTGTGTTTTTAAAGCAGTAAATTTATGTTTATAAAGTCGGAATGACAGATATCTTAACCTCTAAAGTCTTAAACTTTAACGCTTAATAACTCAATTCACGAGGCCGACCGACGCATTTTTCTGCCAGATTCTTTCGTTTTGAGTGAAAACGCGTCAAATGAGCATATTTTTATTAAGATTTTAGGTGGGAGGAGGGGGGGATACTCTAAATAATTATCTACAGATGCATTAGTATTTACTTTTTCAGTTCAGGTAACTCGTTGTAGATTTTGCCAAAATCAGATGATTTGACATCAATTTCTAATCCTTGATCACCAGATTTTTCAGATGACAAATACGACACTTTCTCTGGTCGTACCCAAGTAATTTTGTAATCGGCTATAGTAGTAGCGTATTTTCTTGAAAAGTTACCACCGTTTATCAACAAACTGGTGGCTATCCTCGTCATTTGCTTATAATTAATTAACATTATATTCATACTTCCCTGCCCTTCTCTTAATTATACACAATACAATTGGGTGTTTGGATTCTTCGACGAACAAATGTAAACTCAGTATCGATATTTCAAATTATTAGTCTGAAATATCGATATCTCAACTCCAATATAAAGCCTACGTTCAGCAGAGAAAGCAGCTTTGCAACTGTTGTAAAATTCTTCAATATGATTGGTTTATACATTTAGATCTGTCAGGAACCAAAAGCAAGAACCAATCGTATTGAAGAATTTTACAACAGTTGCAAAGCTGCTTTCTCTGCTGAACGCAGCCAAAGTATCGATATCGGGTGTATTCCGAACCGGGTTAGCTTAGTTTATTTTTTCCCCTAGATGTTGGCAGTTCCGTAACTAAACCGAGACGGCCGAGAAGTGTTCCAAACCCGTCGGCTGTCATAATGCGGGGTCTACAATAGAA